TCAACATAAAGGGATCTGCTCGGAACCTAAGACCAAAACCTCTTGACCATCAATCAGCACCTGGCAGCTAGACAGGGATACAGATGTTTCTCGCTTGCTCAGAAGCCATCCTGCCAAATTACACCATCATTACATAAGCAGGTAGAAACACTGCACCGAAGAAAGAAGAGACAAGAAAAACTCCAACTGAGGTGCACCTCACTTACTCACAAAAAAATAAATCAGCAGGATAAAGATTAGCAAGTGGCTACAGATCAAAACCATTAGAAGGTAAAGCCAGATAAAAGGCTCATGTCAGGCATCCCTGATTTGAATGCTATTGTGAGCAGCAGAGCCTGACCACACCAAAACCTGCTCGAGTCCAAAGGCATCTGTGTCAGGACATGGGCAGGGAGGTGCTGACACCAAGCCACAAAGAGCAATTCACTGGAGATATGGAAGGGCGGCAGCCATGCACCTGGGTTGCTTTTACTCTCCAGATATACCCAGTTGTGAAGGTACGAACTGGGGCTTCCCCTCTGCCTGGATGGGACCAGCCCTGAGGATGCGGAATGGGTGCCATGCCCTGTCCCCAAAGAGAAAGAACTCGAAGGGGCCAAGTGCCTGTTCTGCCTAGGGGACTGCACTGCTTTAATCATGTGGTTGCTGGTCCCAGTAGACCCCATGCTCTGAAAACTTCAGCAGGCTCCTAACCCTCCCCTGTCCAGAAGCAGACTGTCAGGACACTCACCAGCCACCGCTACCGCAGCAGGGATGACTCTGCTGTTTGGGACTCCAGAGACATGTAGTAGAAGCTTCAAGGAAATACTGTGAGTTACCTTGTAAGCAATGCTGCACCCAGGAGGGATAACACCAATTGATCCTAGCCTAGCTGCTTAACATGGTACAAATGACTTTTTAATTGCAACTGGAAAAATAGGCTTATCTGGAAAGCCCATCTTTTAGAAAACTGAACAGTCTCCTCCCTCTTTCTCTTCCCTGGGGCAGAATCTTTTCCTCCTTCAGGTCTTCTGGAAAAGGCCAGCTGTTGTCTGGAGTGCAGGCTTCCCCTGACCACCCAATACAGAAGCCACCACTGCTTCAGGTGCCCTCTGTACACCAAGTAGCACCTCACCTCGGCCCCCGTGAAGCAGATAGTCTCTGGCTGAGCTGGCAGAAATCCCTACCCAGTTTTGCAAACAGCTACAGAAAGGCCCCACGTGCCTCCTCCCTGAGCAGTAAAGTGCCCCACAATAGCTTTGTATTGCCAAAGCATGTTGAAATGATTCTCAAGGCTGTAAGAAAGGAAAAGGCTGGGGCAAGTCTGGACACGTGCCCTCCTGCCCCTTCCCAGGCATTCACAAGATGCCTGTGTTTCAGTTGCAGCACATCACTTCATCACTGAACCTCAAACAACCCAACCACCACAACCCCTCTCACGGTAACCGCTGGGCATCACACTGGCCGCGTCAGAATTACAGAACTTCAATCGCTCTTCACAGTAAGCAGCACAGGGATATGTGGGTATTTCTGTGCATCGCTCATTCTTGGCGGATCGCTCATGTTCCCATTGCTCACATCCCACTCCCTGAGCATCTCTTCTTTTTGGGTATACGATGTCTCTCCCTTTGTCAGCCAGTTCTACCTCTTTCTCCTGGCCACATCTCCTCTCTCCTACTCTCGCAAGCAAGGGAAGCTCCAGGGTCAAAGCTGAGGCCTCTCCATGTAGCAGCTCTACAGGGAGCCCCAGAAAAGAGAATTTGAGAGCTATAAATAGATGTCCCTCACCACAGCCCCCGCAGGGCTGGGCAGAGGATCTGCATGACTGCACAGCTCCAAACCAGGAGTGGAGGCCAGCACTGTCCACACAAACTCTCCCAGCAGGAGATTTGCTTATCCTACAAGGTTGGCCATGACAACAGATGTCTCCATCCCCTGGGGTTCTCTTCTGACTTAATAACCAATCTGCCCTGTGTTTTCCCAAGGGAAACACAGGTTATCTGCTGACAGTTCCTTCCTCTCCTCTCCCAGTCTGAGTCCTATAACGTGATCTGTTTATGCAGCTACCCCTTCCCCTAGCCCAGACTGTATTTCAGTCGTCATGGGGTCAAACAAAAGACTCAGCTCTGTCCTTTAAAGCAAGCCAGCCCCAGCTCACCTGGCAGAGACAGGGAGAAACCTCCTACCAGCCACGGAAGACTTCTTTGTGACACCAGTGGTTGTGTCCCCAGTGCTACGGGGTGTTCCTGCAGAAGGAGAAGTCTGACAGCCACTTCTGAGCTAGCCTGGATTATGCTCCCAAACCTCTACTAGCTGTCAAGACTGCTGGAAAGGATGTCCTGGGCCACCTCCTGGGAGCACGAGCAGCAGCAAAGCACAGGACCACCCTTGCCTGGAGCCTGGCACTCCCAAGCCTCTCAACACTGGTTTGCTTCAGTTTGTGTTTGCAGCATCCTGGTAGGAAGAGGAGCTCTGGCATGGGAGCTATTAGAGTGGGTGGCAGCAGATGGTGAAAACAGAGGGGATAAGAAAATAAATACAAAGAGGCTATCTTGAGGGGAGAAGTCGCCACATCAACACTCTGTTGCTTACACAGTCTCTCTTCCCAAAGCCTAAACAAACATTGCTCGGTTCCTGGCACACAAAGAAACGGCTCTGCCGAAGATGGGGGACAGGCACCCGGGCACAGGCGGTACTGCGCAGCCCTGAGAGGTGCTGCAGCCCTGCACCCCGCTTGGACCGCAACCCAGCGTCTTCAGGGGGCTCCATCTCATACAGAGCAGGGAAACCAAGGCCAGGAAAGGGAGCCTGTGTGTCCTGCTTCCTGCTCACTCACAACCTAGGCCAATCCATCTTTCCTGCACATGGGCACAGTCCCACCCCATCTGCCCTTTCCATGGGCACCAAAGCAGGCCTGCATGGTACTAATGGATGTTCTCACCTGACATCTTCAGAAAAGCCCGTGGAAGATATTCCCAAGGGAAACGGGGCAAGCCAGTGCAGGGTTAACAGGGAATGCCCAGTACTGTCTCACAGGAAAACCAAGGTACCTTCTAAGTCACTGAAATCATCCAGCAGCGCAGCTGCTACCTTGAAGCAAAGCAATCCCCTTCACAGGTCTCACATAACCTTGGACAGCAGGAACCCATTTCTTACTGACTATCACCCCAGGCTATTTGGTTAACCCCTAAGTCTGGAGTCTGCAGCAGGACCATTTCTGCTTCTCTGTCCACCAGCAGCAGTGGGAAAGGTCTTTCCCTCTAATGTTCTTACTGATAGCAGCCCTGACACACCTCCAAGAAACAAAAGCCTAGACTTGGGGAAAACAGGCCTAGATAAAATTGAGAAGAGCCTGGCTCAGCAGGCTGCTCCATACACACATACACACATGGAGGATAACTCATTGCTAGCCGTGAGCCCCCAAAACCTGTAGCCCTTGTCAAAACCTCCCATCTGGGTCCACAAGAGTGCTCCAAGAGGGGAAATCAGAGGTGAAAGCAGTATTTAAACATGCAAGTCTGGTTCAGGCAAAAGCAATTTATTATGTTAAGTACGTTATTAAAGGATCTAAAGCAACAGAGCAGAGATGTTCCAAGAAAGGCTTTAACTTCCCCAGCAAGGGGCTCCTGGGAGTCCTCTTGTTAATACTTTGCACAGGGTTGTCTGCAACTGAGCCTACGGTGAACATAAATGCCCCCTCAGTCCCCTTTCAGGACTCGTTTCAGTTGAATCAATACAATCATCGGGGAGACTTGAAGAAGAAAAGCTATTAGTGGGACCACAGTTAATTCTGGGGGAAAGAAACAAGCAACAAAAGCAATAAAACTGATGGATGGCTTATGCAGACATAGTAACCCTCTCCTGTCTGGGTCCTGCAGCATGGCAGCCCATCAGAGGTGAGGATGCTCACTGGAGAAACCTTTCTTCCCCTGATTTTGCATGGTCTTTGCTTGGGATCAAAGTACTCCTGGATAGGTGCAGGGCAGAAAGCCATGGCACAGAGGTGGACATGGGGCTGGGAAGAGACAACAAGGCTGCTTTGAGGAACACAGAGTGCAATTCCAGGCTAGCACTATACCACTGGAGCCCCATCAGCATGCTCAGGAAAGCTCATTCCCAACCTCTCTTGGCAGTGGGACCTTCAGGGAACACACACGGCGACTCCAGCTGTGGGTAGGAGTCGTGGTCTGGCAGCACACCTTTGCAGCCGAGCAGGAGAGCTCAGAGCAGTGCAGGGACATCACCTCAGCAGTCCTTGTGGCCCCTGGGAGGGGTCATCTTCTCTGCCACAGCAATGCCCCTTGGCAACAGCACCCCAAGAAACCACACATCTCCCTCATCTCACCAAGAAAGCTCACATCTGTCTTCCCCACACACCTCCCTGTTGTTTCTGCTTCCTTACGTCACGCGATAAGCTTTTGGGGGGGGAAGGTGACTACCATGGTTTTGCTTTCTAAAGCACCTTAAACATCTGTAGGTGCTTGGAGAGAAACTCAGCAGCAGTAGCTATAATGGCAGCTGTGTTAAAAACATCTCAAGAGGCAGCATAGCCTGGCTGGCTGCCCGGTGCCCAGACCAGCATGCAGAGTAGAGCTTGCCAGGTGGCATCTACATAGGAAATAACAGAGAAGATGGCGAGATAGTGTCTGTAGCAAAGCCCACTGACTAAAAAGCAATGCCAACACAAGTTGAAGGTCCTGAAAACGGGTAGTATCATCGTTTCTGAAATGGTGATGCCCACAAAAGTAGCAGAAATAAGTTTTAATCATATTTGCTCCATCTACAGGCCTATCCATGTAATGTCATAGAGGACCACAGCAGTCAGAGACTTGCACCTCTGATCTCGCAAAATATCAAACCAGGTAGCATAGACTCAAAATGGGGAAACCAGCAGCAGACTGACTGGCACTGAACCAGCCTCTCCTTCTGACAGCACCAGACTTATCAATAAGTCATCCATGCAGCCTCTCATTTCTAAAGCTACACAGCTGTGGAAAACATCATCTCTCCAACCAACTGACCTCCAAGTCCAGGTCTCAGGCGGTTGTCATATCCATCCAACAGCCTGTCCAGGATGCGGGTGAAAATGGTGATGTTATCTTTGCTGTCATCAACAACGTCTGAAACGTGTTTCTGGGAAAGCCTGGCATGCGGGGTAAAAAAGAGGAAAAAAGGTCATCAGAAGAGAAACCTACTCTTTACATGCTCTGATCAGTTATTGGAAATGAAGGGATGTTGGTTCATTTTTCAGCCTGTGCTGCAGTGGCCCCTGAACCGCAGGATGGGCCATGCCTGTTGATAAGGTGATGTGCTTGCAGGACTCCCCACAGGGCATCTCAGATCAACTCCCCTCTGGCCTCTTCCACCACAGCCCTTGTCGTGGAAGTTGAGGCATCCCTGCTGCTCCCTCCCCACCTTTCCATGCTCAGGGCCAGGGGCACCATGTGTAGCTGTTTAAGAGTCCTGTTTTTTTAGGGAGCCTTCTCCTACCCCAGCATCCCCCACCTGCCCCTAAGAAAGGGCATTTATGAACAGAGGCTGTGTGGGAGCTTCAGTTACTCCCAGTATCTCCTTATAGGCAGCAGGGCCAGTATCTCCTTATAGGCAGCAGGGAAGAAGTGATGCCAGCTGTTTACCATATCAAGCCATGTCCAAATTCTCAGTTCCTGGGAAGAAGGAAGAGAGGCAGAAAAGTAGGAATTCAGTAGAGCAGGCTTGAAGCCCCAGTCCATCATTAAAACTCTTTGTGAACCATTTCTGCAGTTTGTTGAACTTTCCCTGTTTATAAAATCAAATGAGTTTTCACGTTCCTATCTCTGCTCGGTGCTAGAAGCCTGGAAGCCCCCAAATAAAATGATTTCCTCAGGTCATTTTTTGCCCCAGGTGGAATACAATAAGTAGTAAATTTCTCAAACAAAGCTAATCTCACCAAACAAAATCTTCAATGCAGTTTTGCAAGCCCAAGGGGCTCAAATAATACATTTGCATTTTGCATCTCCCTTTCAATCAACAGAAAAGGAGCCTGAGAAACCTTCTGAAACTGTCTGTCTCTAAAAGAGTTTTCAGACAACACAGAGCACCAGTGCTGTGTCTTCAAGCACAGCTTTCCCCAACAGAAATAGCTGTTAGGACCAAAACAAATGGAAAGGCAGAAGATTAAGTAACAGAAAACCAAAAGAAAAATCTATAGATGCAGAGATTGCAAGGAAGATGGAAGAGGAAATAAAACAGACACCAATGAGGCCAAAACAAGACTGAGAGGCATGGACAGGCAGAGGGATGGCTGATATGGCCCAGGCAGGCAGGGGGAGAACAGGCTGCTGGAGCAGAGGGATCCTCAGCAGCAGCACCAGGAACCCCTCGGGAGCGAGGCAGCCCCGCCTGGCAAATCAGCCCTGTGCCACTGCCTGGGTGAAGACCATGAATGCAGCAAACTAGAGAGACACTGGTGGTGCAAGACGTGGGTACAGTTCCCGGGATTGCACCTATGACCCTGTGTAGCAGGGTCCCACTCCCCACAGCAGGGGGAAGAGAAGCCCTTGAATTGTTGCCAACACTTCTGCCCCTTTCCTTCTCCTTCCCAGCCTCATTTTCTCTTGCTCCAGTTGATGTGTGCAGCCACTGGTTTAAGCACGCATCAAGAAGTCATTGAGGGAAAAAAAAAACCACAAAACATAAAGAAGATCATTTGAGGAGTTCAAAGCTTAATCCTGCTGCATTACATCTGGTTAGTCTAGTTACTCCTGACACTACTGGTCCATTTGTAAATATCCTGTGAAGGGTGGGTAGGGTGACAAGTAGCAGAGCTGGCTTGGAGTTTTCTATCAAAATGTTCTCCTAACAGAAACCCCAGCTTCTGTAAGATAAAAGAAGAGGAAAAAGTATTTTCTAGCAAAAGAGAAAAAAATTGAGAGCAGGGCATGGGTATTTTTAGAGTCAGGCTGAATCAATACTATTCAGCATGCTGCAGCTAATTAAAATATTCCATTTTGGGCAATTTTTACATTAATGTGCGTCGGCATCAATGACCAAACACTTGGGGAAATTGCATTTCAAGTGCTGGAGGTTTGCTTCTTCAGGGATTGGATCCCACATCTCGCAAGGCCGCTTGGCCTCTGATTTTAAGCAAACCAATACCTGCTATCATGGGAGAAATGGTCAAGCCAATGGTTCAGCCTACAAGAGCCAAATGAGGGTAATAAAGTGCTTAAACTGCAGGTCCCATAGGGTATGGGGGGTGAGGCATGGTTGGGAAAACACCTGTCCCAGCCCTAGTGCAACCTGTCAGATCTGAAACACCAACCTGGTATTACAAACTGCATCACAGCCTTCAAGACTTCCCATTCAAATCAAAACATTGGTTTTGGCTTTTCATCTGGACTTGAAACATTTGAAATAGCTGAACTCCCTGCAGGTAAGTAGAATTTTGAGGAATTTAACAAATGCTTACTGTAATTAGTGAGGTTTCAATTGTACCAGATTTCAATAGATGTCATGGTTAAAAGCAATCTGTACCAGTGTCTGCTGATGGGTATATAACCGTCTATAACTTATGAATAGCTAGCATGCTCGTGAAAGCTCATTCATTAATGTTTTATAAGCTATCTTTTAAAATTACTGGTAATATAAAGAGTGAGAGGACAGATTTTTGTGAAGGAACTCCTGGTGGAGGCTCAGCGGTGATGGGAAAAATTAGTTTACAAATTTCAAAGCTGTTTTGCTCAGCCTGACATTTGAGGTTTCGACTTCAATGTGAGCAGCGTGGGATTCACTCAGGAGGCGCTGGGGGAAAAAGCGGTGCAGGCAGGGCGAGAAAAAGGGGCAAGCAGGGGAGAGGCAGCAGCACCTCTGCCTGGCACCTGATTTGGGCTAATTCCCCAGTCCAGCTGAGGTCTGGGCTGGCTCGCCTAACCTCAACATAAAGCTAAACTTGCCCTTTAACAAGGCATAAAACCAGGTCTCATTTATCTCTCAAAGCCCCAGTGAAGAACTCTAAGGAACTGCAAAGAGGTATCATGGTTTTAAAATAATTAAAGGCTTTAGGCAGGGAAGACAGAGGTTTACAGCAAATTTAATTAGGATAGGCTTGAGGAAAAGTCATTACCTCGTCACCTGTCCCTGTGTGCATGCTCTCCAGAGAGCTGGCTGCCACATCGGCACGCTGACCTCCGGACAAGGGTCCCTTGTATGCAATTTAGGAAAACAAATCCTCCCGTGGACCAGAGCGATAGCTGCATGGCAGCGGGGGAGCAGCGGCATCAGTGAAAACGTGATGGGAAGCAAAACGGCAACGGTGAGGAAGGCAGAGGCAGGGCCGAGGGCACAGGGGCTGCTGACATCCCATGGCATGGGGATGGGGACCCGTCCCCTCGAGCCTGGGGGGAAGTCAAGAAGCCAGCACCTGGAGCTGCCTCTGCCTACGCAGGCAGGGAGGAGCAGGCAGCCCTACGTCGATATGAGGGTCAGCTCGGGATGCATTTGCTTATATTATACCAAAGTGAGATCCAAGCAGGTGAAGCAGCGTGGGCAGGACAGGGCAGGAGCGTGCAGCTTGGCAAAGGGCTGCACACAGGGGGGTGCGCGGGGAAAGGAGGAGTGACAGCGCTGACATTTTTTCACGCATGAAAATCCTTGATTTTCTGCTGGACTTGTAACTCAGCAGATAGCATTTCAGTGTCCACACCTGGCACTCCAAAGGCATTTCTAAATTTTTTATAGGAGTCATGTATTATTTGCATTTCTCTCCCTCTGGGCAGGGCTCTTCGCTCCCTGCCGCTGGCAGGCTGTGCTGGGGGTGTTTCTGCCTCCCTTCCACAAAGGGCTCTCCGAGCTCACCAAGCCTCTGCAGAGGCTCCGATGGGATGCAGAGGATAGCTACAGAGCGTGTCACAGACTAACAGGCTTTCATCTTCTCCTGACAGCTCCCAGAGGCTGGGAAGGCAGGGCTGGTGGCACTGCGCTCTGTGCCGGGACAGCCGGAGCTTGCATGCCCAGGGACACCAACCCAGGCAGAGGGCAAGCAGCATGCCCAGCCAGGGCTGGCCATTGTAACATAAACAAACAGCTGAAGCAGTTTCATTTTCTTTTCTTTAAAAGAGTATTAAAAAATTAAAGCGTGGGGGAGCCTCTCTTCCAGGTTAATAACTCATCCAAGCCAAGTCCTTGCTCAGAGTGAACTGTGCAGCAGCCAAATTTTAAAAGTGGTTTTGTTGCAAAAAATGCTGACAACTGTCCTTACTGAGAGCACCTCAAAAAATGGTAATGTAATCAGTCAGCTCAGCCACGAGGGACTGAACAGTCCCTGGGTGAAAGGCATGGGGATGCTGACAAAGGGAGAGTCAAACACAGCAGAGACATTTTTTAGTGCTTTGCCCTGGACTACTTCACACAGGTACTGGCCCCGGGACATTTAAACACAACAAAGGACGACAGCCTTGGCCAACAGCCTCAGCGTTCACCACCTTACCCAGCATCAGCAGGGAGAGCCAAAACCAGGACTAGGACTCCAAGGCTAAAGCGGGAGAGCAACCCCATTCCCGGGAGTCTCAGCGCCATGGCGTCAGCACGCAGTGACTGGCAAGCAAGCCTCCAAAACCTGCCAGGGTAGGCACAGAGAGGAAGGAGAGAAGAGAAAAGAGATTATATTTACTAGGAGGAAAGCAATCTGCTTAGTTCAGTTTTTCCCGGCAGTTCATGCATGTTAGCCAGCAGTCAGTATTTCTGGGGTCCTGTATGTGAAGTCCCAGAGAGCCCCCCAGGGACCAAAGGCAGCAGCATCCCCTGCAGCACTGCTGGCCCTGGGAAGTCACAGCATGGGGTCACAGCCAGGCATGTGTACACACACATACAAACCCTCATCCCATCTTCACAGCATACAGCAGTTCCCCGGTTGCTTCAGCACCTGGCAACGAGCTCTCCAATTCCAAAATGACCACACCGGTTCTTCTTCCACCCATCGCTTCCTCCTCCTCCTCCTCACCAAATATTCCCAGTCACTGCCCTCCCCGTGCAGAGGTCTCAGATCCCCTGCTACCTGTGCTGTCCTGGGGACGCCCACAGAGCAAAACCACTTGCAAAGTCCCAACACCCACTTTTTCCAAACATCTTTTCCTGGATAGTTAGACCCTCATTTAATTCTGGTAATGACACTGCCAGAAATTATTAAGTTTGGGCATCGAGGCCCAAGGTAGTGGGAGTGTTCAACTGTATTGCATTAGTGTGCTCAGATTTTTCATTAATGCTCAGTTTTACTTTTATTGTGATGTTATTGCACATTTAACTGCCTTCCATTTTTATGTATCTCATTATGTTGATGCACCTTGGAACAGCACTGCCAAGCAACAGCCTGTATAAATACAGCTTGTCGTGACGTCTCCCCAGCACACCTCACGTCTGGCATACACAGGATTCAGCCCAGCAGAGGCTCAGTGCTGTGGCAGCCAGGCACAACCGGCCAGTGTGAGACCCCAAAGACGTCAGTGAAGGCTCACTTCAATCCCAGACTGCAGAAACCAGGGCAAGACGTTGTTGCCAGCCTAATCTGAGCTCTGGATTTCCCTGCTCAGTAGGGACCAACACCGCAGTGCCTCAGGCAGCTCCTTTCAGCCCGGAAGGAGATGCTGGGTTGAAAGCCAAACCCCACCACCTGAACAGCGTTTCTCAGCGAGTGGAGGGTGCCCCAGAGTGAAGGGGGCAGGTGAGCTATGCAAGTGCTACCAAGGAGCAGGGGTTTCTGCACACAGACGTTGGAGATGGGAACCCCCATCAGAAATCCCACACAGAGAGAGCAGGGAGCTCAGCCACGCAGAATAGAAACGCCTGGAGATGATGTGTATGGGGGGTGTAGAGCGATGTGTACCTGGCTAGCCCTGCCACAGCTGGTTGGAGGAGGAGACGGGGCACAAGGCCAGGCTGAGTCGTGTCTCACACCATAATTCTGCACTTAGCCACTCCTATTCATCCTACACCCCTTTGGCCCTAGAGTTTTCCTGGATGCTGTGCCTGATCCTTGCTTTTTAGCTCAGTACAGCTCTAGGAGGACATGAGCTGCCACGCAGGCAGAAGGTAAGAGCCAGACACTACAAGTCCTTATCCACCCACCTCAGCTTTTGTTCTGGCAAGATATTCACTAATGGCAGGCACAGGAAAAAAAGAAACAGCGTTGAGCCCCAGCATTGCCTTGCACAGAGCATCCCTCAGACGTGTTACTTTTATCTTCCTCCCCATCACTCACTTAAAATCCTTGCAAATATCAGCACATGGATTAATTACAGCGCATGTGAGCATTTGCCGGTGTGCTCGGGCCTTATTTAATCAGGATGCTGCCCAGGGAAGCACAGCCTTCACACCAAGGAACACACACTTAGAGAGGCTGCAGGAGCCTTCTGGCAAGGGCACACCTACACCTCGGGTGAGACAAGCCCTGATTTGGGATGGCTCTCCCGGCTCCTGCCACCCTCCAACTGAGAAGGGACATGCAGTCTTGGAAATTCAAGTATTTGCTGACGAAGCACAAATTAAGAGTCTGAACATCTGTTCTGTGGGAAATTCCAACAGTTAGGGGAGACTCATTCCAAATCACAACAAGGACAGCTAAAATGTTGATGTTTCTTACAAGGCAAATTCAAAACTCCTTCAATTAGCAGCTCCTCAACAGATTTCCTTTCAACTTTTCCCTTTCATTTCACTTAAACTTGCAAATTATACAACAGGATTTAATTGATTTTTTTTTTCCTAAGGCAATTTCAAACACTAGTCAAAAGGAAAAAAAAATTGCTGGCTTCCCTCTCCCCTCCTCACACCATCATTGAAAAATTTCATTGAAATCAACACTTTTCCATTCAACTGCTGATTTCAATAAATGGTTTGTTTTGGCAGAATTTGCACTGCCAGCAGATTTTGACCAGGGACACCCACAAACAAGGACCCTTTGTTTTTGCAGCAGGTGCCTCCTGCCTCTGCAGGAACTATTCTGACTCCTCTAGAACCTTTTAGACCATCTTTATTAGATTTGGTGAGACCATGGCCTGGGGAGACTACATCCCAGGTGGAACAGCGCAGCTAAAAAAAAGAGGACCAGAAAATGGGGCAGCAAGGTAATTCAGAAAGAGATAGGGTCAGGAACAGCGACAAAAGCCAGGAGCACTTACATCGTCCATGTAGGTGTGTATAAGATGTGCCTGTCTGTGCCAAGAAGCTCTAAACAACTGCATTTCCACCAAACTTTGTTCATACAATTTTCCTTCAATATTGTATGGAGATGAAGGGCGAATGTTTTACTTTGGATAGTTCTGTTGAAGAAGGTGCTAGCCAAGGATAACAGGGCTCCTCGAATAAAGTTAGATACATGCTTAAATCTCATTTTAAGCATGAAAACCAGTTCTATATACCCACACTTGGAGAAAAATCTGTTTTCACTACTGGCCCAAGTGATTGCCAGCCACAGCTCAGTTTGCTGGCACAGAGAATGCCCCCAAAATGGGGTGAGAGTACACGGATGGCTGGTTTGCTAGGGCTGCACTTACAGACTCCGGAAGGACAACACAGCATGGAAAATACCTTGGCACTGTTTTCTACCACTTTCCTTTGGTTGTCATATTGTATTTTTCCTGGGGAGCAAGATAGAAGAGGCTGCACAGCATTTTCCTTGTTCTTTGGCTAATTTACACTTAGAGATGGATTGAGAAGAAGACCTGGTCCTGAGGACTGTGGTTGACATTCCCATTTAACAGTCTTTAACTGTTGGTGATGAACCCTGGTAGCCTTGTGACATTGAGCCGGGACTGGCCAGGCAGTGCTGTGGGAACAGCAGAAGGAAAAAACCTCTTCCAGCGCTGGTGCTCATCACCCCATTGCTGAGCAAGAAACGTATCTCTGGAGGATGCAAGGAGTCTTTGCAGAGGAGGAGGTTTCACCCTTCATACAGTTTAAGGGATCTTCCAAAGCTCCCCACAGTCAAAGCCTAGCGTGGTCCCCATGGCACAGCAGCTCTCAGCATCACCTCTCCCCTTTCCTGGGGCTGTTGCTACCCAGGCCCAGCACCAACCACAGAACCACACAAAATCTCAGCCGTTGCAAGTGCTTTATAAGCCAAATAGCTACTGGCCACACAGGCTCTCTAATGAGGTACCTGGCCTTCTGGCCTGGCAGGTTTGTAAAACCAGTCCTGGTTTCAACAGCCCAGCAACTGAGCTCCTCAGATTTTAGCACAAAAGAGTCACTCTTGGAGAAGACTGCTGGCCCCGTGGCAGTTGCTGTTAGCGGCAGAGCAGTAGGAAGGGGTGCCTTGGCACTCAGCACCATCTGAAGCAATGCAAAATAATGGAAACACCCATGTGTCTCAGGAAAAGCAACACTGGGGCTCCTCCAGCCCAAACTGGTGCTGTCCTTGCAGAGGTGCTAGTCAGCTGTCACTTCCCACTCAGGAAGGCACTGAAACAATCAACGCCTCGATCTCAGTAACTGCAGGGAGGGAGGATGCAGGCAACATGCACTTAACTGCATGAAACTGATTGGGAGTTTAGGAATGTTAATTGTATGGTAATGGTCTCAAAGAAGAAAAAACCCCAAAATGTCTTACCAGGTGGAGCTGAAGGGAAACTGCATAGTATCTATGAAGAAGAGAGCAGAATGCAAAGATTCCTAAGCTCAGAAAAGAGTGGTACAACTCCTTAGACTGACTCCTCTTTCATGTAAGTTGAAGAACATCACCCCATAGCTTCTGTTCTCCTCTATGCCTACACGAGATGGAGCCTATAGGGATGGTACGTGTTCAAAGCAGCTCTGCACTTCCTTCCTCCATCTGTCCATTGCTCATTTCTTAATGGCACAGCTAGCAAATGTATTCATCACTAATTCTGTAGTTGCTGGTAACCTCCACAGCTGAATCAAATGCAGATTTTCTAAGGAGCCCTGCTAACACTTTGCAGCTGGAATCCAGCAATACTTGAAGTTTACAGTTCTGCGCACCCTGGATTTTGGCAGGTCTCTTTATAACCACATACCTAAAGGCATCATAAACATACTGACTCCTCTCCAACATATGCAGTCTGTCCAATCTCCAGAGCATCATAGCATAACAACACCCCTGAGAAATACAGCCTTCCTGTTGGATGTGCAGGTTTGGAATGAGAAATTGCAAAAGCTTCCTTCTCCCCAAGACAGCACCATGCACCAGCCCCTGCTCCTACTGAGGTGGGTTCGGGAACCAAAAAACTGCTGATTTCTTACAGATCAGCAAGGTACCCTAGTAACTATGCTAACATTGGGTATCTCCCGACTTGGCATACTGAGCCTGATCTTTTCAGAAATCCCTATTCTAGAAACTATTAAATATTCCGAAATGCCTTCCTAGGAAAGAGTGATTAGCACAGCCTTACTGCTGACAAGGGAAAGACAGATAGAGCTCTGGAGGTGGAGACTGAAAGGTAAAGCTTGCAAAAAAATCTGAGAGAACAGCCTGGAGAGGGGGAGACTGCAAGCATCAGAAAGGTAAGAGCAAGGCCCATAAACCCACCTGGGTACATTTATGAGAGTCACATCAGTCTCTCCCAAATTACTGCCTCCTTGGAAGATGCACAGCCAAGGGAACAATC